ATCAGTGGCTCTGCGTGCGCACGTCTGACCCCCCACCTGCGCCCCCCGCGGCCAGAGCCGGGAACCCTCGGACCAGTAGGCCCGGGAGAGTTAGAGTGCTTTGATGGATGGACATCGAGAGTCTCTCTCGGGGCTCTAGAGGGGGTGGGTGTGGGTGGGTTAAAGTCCATAATCTAGAACCCGGATGGAGAGGGCGGAGCTGAGTTGTGCAGGGAGAGCCCGGATGGAGAGGGCGTGGCCTCCGCGGGAACAGAATTAACCCCTTGGGGAGCGGCTGGCTCTGGTGATTTTGGGTCGGGCCGGCCTGGAGAGGCTGGGATGCCTGCCGGAGGAGTGTGTTACTGCTCGCGCAGTCTGGCTGTGGTTTCGTGGGCCTGCCTTCGAGGAGTCTGGGGGTGTCTGTCTTTGTGTTTGTCTGGCGACCGTGTGTGTCCCCTTCCCTGGGATATTCCGGACACCGGGAGCCGGGGAGTGCTCCTCCTGCCCCAAAGCGAGAGTGAAGGTGAGAGTGGTTCGCGAGCCGCCCGCGGCGGCGGCGGCTGGGGAACAGGTGTGAGCGTGAGCGCGCGCCGCGGCTCGGCCGCCCGGCGCGGGAGGGAGGGAGGCCGGGGGAAATTCCGGGGGCTCGGTGGTGAGCCGTGTGTGGGCTGAGGAGTTGTGTCTGCCTCTGACTGTTTCTGTGTGTACTCGGGCAGGCGGGGGCTGAGTCAGTGAGAATTGGGGAAGGTTTTCTGGTGACTCACGCTCCCCCACCGCGAGCCTGAATCAGACCCCGGGGGGAGGCTTAGGACAGGGGGGCGGATGGGGGAGTCGGGCGCTGCGGACCCGGGTGGGGACCTAGATCATCCGTGAGGCTTGGCGAGAGTGAATGAGTGTGCCGTGTACAGGAAGTTTTTGTTCTCAATGAGGGCTGGTGCCTGCCTGGGTCCTGGCGCGTGCGTTCGTGCGTGCGTGCGTGTGGGTGTGTGTGTGTGGGTGGGTGGAGGACAGGGGAGAGGGGACTGGAGAAAGCTGAGTCAGTTCCCCGTGGGAAAGGGGAAGTGGCAGAGGGGAAGTGTCATCATCACGGTAGGGGAAGCGGCATTTCCTGGTAACTGGCAGCGCCCTGGGCACCACTTCCTGAGCAGGGATCTGCTCCCTGACGTCTGGTCTCTCGGTTCCTCCATGCCCTGTCTTGGGCCTGAACTTGGCGGGTGGAGAGGTTCTCCTGTCAGGTTCTCTTAACTTGATCCCAGTTAAGCGCGATCGTGGTAACTGGTAGATGGGCAGTTTCGGGAGAGAGTGAGTGTTGACCGGAATCCCCAGTGGAGGCGGCGACGCGTCCGCGAGGACGCAGCGGGAAGCTGTACCGGGAGTTGTGGGGTCCCAGGCGCTTCCGGCTGAACAAACGACCTTGGACTTGGGGCCGAGAGCGGTTTTCGCCAGAAACCCGCCTGCCTTGATGGGAAGGGTGGAAATTTCCCCGTCGCGCCGACTTCTCTCGACGAAGGTGAACTTTCCAGCCGCCCCCAGCCGCCGGCCGCGCGCTCTCCCCCGGCTTCCTGCTCCGCGCCCGCTCCAGCTGGAGCGCAGGCCCCGCCCCGGCGCTTTGTACTCGACACCCGCCCCTCTTTGTACTCTAGACGTTCAATGGGCCGAGCCCGGAGCGGAGCCGGCTCCCTACCTGCGCGGACCCGGGTAGGCGCGGAGCAGGCGGGGGCCAAAGAGGGCGGGTGCTCCGGAGGGGAGGGCCCGGAGCCCCAGCCCGGCTTGGGTCTGGACCGCACCGACGGCAGGAGGTGGGGGTGGAGGAGGAAGTGAAACGGGTTCTGGGTTCACTACTGGAGTGGGCGGTGAAGCACAGTGGGACAAGGGTGATGTTACCGCCTGTCGGGCCCCGCCCTCCCCCTC